GAGAGGGGCGGGGAGAAACATTGATGTGAGACCGGTTGACTCCTGCATGCGCCCCAACTGGGCCGGGGGATGGAACCTGCAAACCTAGGTACACGCCCTTGATTGGGAATCAAACCTGTGACCCTGTGGTGCACGGGCCGACACTCTAACCACTGAGCACACCAGCCAGGGCTCTTAATGCATCTTAAAAGCAGAAACCTCAATCCTGTAGTCCTGAAACACCATTCTTTTAGTTGGAATTAGTTGCTGGAAGGAGACCAAATTGTATAATACTGATTACAACTCTACTTTTTAAAAAGACATTAAAAAAAAAGATTAGGGGAAAATATACCAAAATGCTGTGTATTGAACAATGGTTATGACAGCAGGGGCATTTTGTGTGGTTGTTTTTGTCTCTTTAGTTTCCCACATTCTCTGCACTATGGTAATTTTATGGTACTTTCAAAATTGGTGAGCCCAGGTTGGTGTGGCTCAGTTGGTTGGAGCATCGTTCCGTACACCAAAAAGTTACAGGTTCGATTCCTAGTCAGGGCACATACCCAGATTGTGGATTTGATCCCCAATTGGGGTGCATCTGAAAGATAACTAACCAAGGTTTCCCTCTCTCTCTCTCTCTCTCTCTCTCCCTCCCTCCCTCCCGCCCTCCTTCAAAAAAAAACCCTCCCCCTCCCTCCCTCCCTCCCTCCTTCCTTCCTCTCTCTGAAATCAATAAAAATGTATCCCTGGGTGAGGATTTAAAGAAAAAAAAGTGAAAGAAGATTTATAAGTATGTGTTGCAAAAAATGATTGGTAAGACTTTTGTGAATGGATTCAGGTAATGAACTTTGTTCTAATTGCATGTCTTTCAGGTATAAACCTGACTTGATTTGGTCTGATGGAGACTGGGAAAGTCCTGATTCTTACTGGAACTCCACAGATTTTCTTTCTTGGCTCTACAATGACAGCCCAGTTAAGGTATGTGATTATATTACTTATGTCTTATTTATCTGTTGTGATACAAGACAGTATAAGGAGACAAGATCTGGAGTAATAACAACATCACCATGGGGGTGCTAGGGACCCAGGGACGTAATGGATGTTAAAGGTTTCTCCTTTAAAGCAGCCAATCGATGATTCTCTCTCATTGATGTTTCTATCTCTCTTTCCCTCTTCCTTCCTCTCTGAAATCAATAAAAATATATTTTAAGAAAAGGATTTCTCTTTTAATTCTTTTTTCCCCTTCCTTGAAGCATAAACTTTATTTTTCTTCTTTAATTATTTTTTTTTTAATCCTCACCCGAGGATATTTTTCCATTGATTTTTAGGAGTGGGAGAGAGAGGGAAAGACAGAGAGAGATACTGATGTGAGAGAAACACATAAATGGTTTCCAAGATAATATTTAAAACCAGCTCTTCCAGCTCTAACGTTACAGATCGCTTGACCAGGGTTTCTCAGCCTCTGCACTGTTGACTTTTAGGGCTGATATTTCTTTGTTGTGATGAGGCTGTCCTTTATATTGTAAAAAGTTTAACACCATCCCTGGCCGCCAACACTATCCTGGCCTCTAGATGGCAGTAGTACCACCCCAGTTGTGACAACCCAGAATGTCTCTAGGCTTTGCCAAAATCCTCTCCGGGCAATATAGCCCCAGTTGAGAACTACTGCTCTAGGCTAAGTCTGTTCTTTGCTTCCAAATAGGTTCTTAATTTATCGCACTGCGTTATGTAAGGAAGATGAGGGGTTCACCCTTGATGACCCAGTACTCTTTCCTCCTTTAGGATGAAGTAGTGGTAAACGACCGATGGGGTTTTAACTGTTCCTGTCACCATGGAGGATACTACAACTGCGAAGATAAATTCCAGCCATCAAGTTTGCCAAATCACAAGTGGGAGATGTGCACCTCCATAGACAAGCGGTCCTGGGGCTACCGTCGCACTATGTCGATCTCTGAAGTTGCAAGTGAATCGGAAATCATTTCGGTAAGACACCTGTGAGTTAACTCTTTCTTTCCTTTTTTTTTTTTTCAGAGAAGGGAGAGAGGGATGGAAACATCAATGATAAGAGAGAATCACTTATTGGCTGCCTCCTGCACACCCCCTACTGGGGATCGACGACTCAGAGAAGAAGGGAGAGAGGGATGGAAACATCAATGATAAGAGAGAATCATTTATTGGCTGCCTCCTGCACACCTCCTACTGGGGATCGAGCCCACAACCCAGACATGTGCCCTGACCAGAAATCGAACCATGACCTCCTGGTTCATATGTTGACACTCAACCACTGAGCCACACCAGCTGGGCATGAGTTAACTATTTCTTAACTGCCATCTCAAACCAGCCTTCTACCTGAGCGTGGTGGCAGCACGGTGGGTGAACGTGCAGGTGGATAGAGCCCTTTGGGTTATTGGACATACTCAGAGCAGTCTGTCCTAAGGGAATCATTGTAATTACAGAAGAGAGTTTTATGTACAGACATGTTCTTCCCAGGGTTATCTTCAGTTGGACATTAGGTTGTTTCAATTTCTTTCAACCATAACGGATAGTTAAGTAGATTTGGGGGTTGTCCTGAACCATTAAAATGTTTATCAATTTTATATGGGTTAATGCTTTATTCTCAGGGATATGTTCTAAGACCCCCAGTGGATGCCTGAAACCCAGGATAGTACTAAACCCTGTTTTTCCTAAACTATACATACCTATGGTAAAGTTTAATTTATAAATTAGGCACAGTAAGAGATTAACAACAACTAATGATAAAATAGAACAAATAGAACAATATCCTGTAATGAAAGTTATGTCCAAAAATTTGGTTTCCCCAAATATCTGACTATATTGTACTCACTTTTCTTCTTGTGATGATGTGAAATGACTTGATGCTTACTTGATGAGATGAAGTGAGGTACTCAGAACAGAGTGCAACTTAAACCTTATGAATTGTTTATTTCTAGAGTTTTCCCATTTAATATGTTCAGACTGTGGTTGACCATGGGTAACTGAAACTATGGAACACGAAACAGTGGATAAGGGGGGACTACTGTATCTCTATAGCATGGTTTCCCGACAGGGCAGCATATACGTTTATATAGCCCATCACATACAGAGAGTCCTGAAATTCTTCAGATCTCTTCAATCTCCCCAAAGTCTCCACAGCACCCCTTCTAAACCTCTTCCCTCTGACCGCCATATTCTCTCTGTATGGCTCCATGTGATCCTTTCATGGCCAAGTGCTTTGTTCTCAGCTCCTGCTCATCCTCTGTGCTTCTGACACAGGACCCTTCCCACTGCCTGTGGCACCATGGAAGGGCAGTCTCCCAGGGAAGTGCCCGTGATCACTCCCTGGAGTTCAAGTTAATATATTTCTCCATCTTGTAGCAGGATTTTTCAGTTTTCTTATATAATCTGTCTTGCTTTTATAGTGACAAAAATATATAGTATTTTCAAAAGGGTAAAGGACATTCACAAAGCAGGGAGAGAAGGTGCCCTAGATTCTTTTTCTTCTCTTAATATCAGTGTGTTCTAGGCATTATGCCAGGCTTGGAATTCATAAGTAGGATTTCATTGTTTCCACTCTTTCCAGGAACTGGTCCAGACAGTAAGTTTGGGAGGAAACTATCTTCTCAACATTGGGCCAACTAAAGACGGACTGATCCTTCCCATCTTCCAAGAAAGGCTGCTCGCCGTTGGGAAGTGGCTGAGCATCAGTGGGGAGGCCATCTATGCCTCTAAACCATGGAGGGTACAATTGGAAAAGAACGAATCTGTATGGTGAGTCCTGTCTTCTGTTGTGTGTGGGAGCGGGACTGTGCCCATCCTGACCTGGCATCTCCTTGGTCCACAAGGTTAGAAGCCGCACTGGAAGTCGTCTTGAAACCCACAAGCTGTTCTTTTGCTATTCATTTGTACCCCAGTTTATGGCTTAAGCCACCGGGATATCTTTGACTAGTTAGGGTGGGGATAGGCTTGGTGCAAAAACCATCAAAAAACATCAGTCAGTTTACTTGATACTTTACCTGGTCTAATTAAAAATAGGACTAGCTAATAGTTGTGCAGCAACTACAATGTGTAAGGCTCCATTCTAAATTCTTTGCACCCATTTCATCCCCTCAACAAGCCCACCAGATGGATACTGTTATTATCTCCGTATTACAAGTGAGAAAGAGGGCCCAGAGCAGTACTATAACTTGCCTAGGATCACAGAGCTAGTAAATGCGGAAGTCATGATTCATACTTGGAATTGTGGATCTAGTTATTTGATCAACTGCAAAATGGGGTGATGATTCTTCCTAGAGCTACTGTGAGGATTAAATGAGATAATGTATGTAAAGCTTCCAGCAGAGTGCCAGGCATATACGATGAGTTAATAAATCTGCTAGTGTTATATCGTAGAGCGTAGGTCCTTGGATCAGGGGAAACATGGCCATTCCTGTTTCAGATGAGCTTCCGGTTAGTGATTTTCATCCTCTTCTCTAAGCATGAAATCTCAGAATTACAAATTTGTCTTCATTGCACATCTTGCCCTTGTTATATCCTCTGGTGTTTTCACATGGACTTGGAGTTGAAAAACTATTTGAATGATAAGGCAGAAGGCCTCAGTGTGAAATAACTGGTATAAGAGTTTAAAAATTTTCAAGAAAACTTGTAACCCCATAGAGCAATGGTTCTCAACCTTCCTAATGCCGAGACCCTTTAATACAGTTCCTCATGTTGTGGTGACCCCCAACCATAAAATTATTTTCGTTGCTACTTCATAACTGTCATTTTGCTACTGTTATGAATCGTAATGTAAATATCTGATATGCAGGATGTATTTTCATTGTTACAAATTGAACATAATTAAAGCATAGTGATTAATCACAAAACAATAGGTAATTATATATTCAATATGTGTTTTCCGATGGTCTTAGGTGACCCCTGTGAAAGGGTCGTTCGACCCCCAAAGGGATTGCGATCCACAGGTTGAGAACCGCTGCAATAGAGAGTGAAAATAGAAGATACCACCAGAAAGAGGCAGCTTTCTTCCCACAGACCTTAATTGGTATTGAGTTATTAGTGCTTCCTCGTGTCAGTGATAAGCACAGGGCTTGGGGTTCGTAGATCATAGGAAGGGGAGTGTATAAGGTTATATGTAATAACCTTAGGTGTCAGGATAACAAGCCAGGTGTCTTTGATACTGATGCTTCTTTCTCCCAGGTATACCTCAAAAGAATCAGCTGTTTATGCCATTTTCCTGAAATGGCCAGAAAATGGAGTCTTAAGCCTTAAATCCCCCAAAACTACCTCCGCTACACAGGTAAGGGGCCTCAGTCCTTTCAAAGATGTAACTTTTTAAAAAGGAATTGGCAGGTCTTCTCTACTTCCTCCTTCCCCAGGTTCCTCCCATATTTATTCCCCTTTTAGACCAACTGGTGGACCACTGGTGGTCCGTGAGGTCCGAAAGGTTGGCGACCACTGTTTTGGATGGTCTTCCCTTCCTGGGCCCAGCTTGGTTGTTTTCCACCATGTTCAGACCATATTCTGTCCTCATTAATGCATTAATGTTTTTCCCATTGCCTTTTGCTTTCTTCAGGTAACGATGCTGGGAATCCAGAAAGATCTGAAGTGGTCCACAAATCCACCCGGAGGTCTCCTCATTTATCTGCCCCAGTTACCACCCTCTGCTCTTCCAGTTGAGTTTGCGTGGACCATAAAGATGATGGGCGTGGAGTGATCATTGAGTTCAAGAGGAAAGCAACACTGCCTGCTGCTCAGTTTTGATTTTCTTCTTGCAGTTCCATCATTGAAATAACCTACTCTTCTCTACCCAGAGATGGCTTTTCCTACATACCTTAATCAAAGGAACTGAGTGCACTGCTCTATCAGTGGATCAAAGATCTGAGCCACCTTGCTGGCATACCTCTCTCATCAGCAGAAGAAGGAACTAACCAGTTAAAGCTCTCTGAGTCCATTCTTCCCGAACTTTGGACATTATCTACAGTGGAATCTCCCCTCCATTCTCTGTTTGATAACCGGCTTGCTTAATGCCTTCGGGTAAAGAATAAGCCAGTTCACCTTGTTGCCTATGGGAGAAGGTTTAAAGGGTTTGGCAAGCTCAACCACATGCTATTTATTTAGCATCGACTGTCACCAGCTCCCCCTGAAAGAGCAGGAGAGCCTGGAGGGAAAAGAAAGGCATGCTAGACTAATAGCTCTTCAGAAGTTTCCAAAGCCAACTAAGGGCTCTGAAATTCAGTCTGTGCAGTGATACTATGAAGAAAATGGATGTGATTCTGCGCTGCTTTTTAAAATATAATCAAATAAATAAATTTTAATGTCAAATGATTTCTACCAAAAAACATGTTATAGTTTTCTTTCCTCAGTTTCTATGTGGACTGCTTATAGCTTTATGTTTCTGTGTTTTAAAAGGGCCAGTCATGCCTCTTTAATGCAGAACAAAAAATGTAATTTCTTTGGTTTTCTCTTCCTCACTTCCGGTACCATTCTTTTGAAATTGATTTTTAGAAAGAGGAAGGGAGAGAGAAACATGGATGTGAGAGCAGTTTGTAGTTTTCAGTGTACAAGTCTTGAAAGTCATTTAATTTAATACCATGCTAGTATTTTTGGGTTTCAAGCTACAGGTTAGCAAATTCTGTGGGTAGTGCTTTAACTGTTATGATGGAGGAAATTGTCAGTGCTGCGGAATCATACAGAACACTTATCATCTCTGTTCTCTCCCTCGCTAAAATCTGAGCCCCTTGAAGGCAGGGACAGTGCCTTCTCTGCCTCCCCTGAGAATGCTATTTAGTGCACTCACCCATTGCAGATCTACTCACTCAGTAGCCATAGTGACTATTTACAAAATGCAAGTTTGATTGTATCTCCTGCTTAAAACCCTTCAAATGCATCGCTATTAGGATAGCTGTTATTATTCTTTTAATCCTCACCTGAGGATTTTTAAAAAATTTATTTTAGAGAGAAACGGGGGAGAGAAACATCCATCTGAGAGAGAAACATTGACTTGTTGCCTCCTATATGTGGGATCGAACCTGAAACCTAGGCATATGCCCTGACCAGGAATCAAACCTGCAACCTTTTGGTGTACAGGAAGATGCTCCAACCACCGAGTCACCCGGCGAGGGCAGGATAGCTGTTATTGATATAAATCTCCAAAGCCTTATGGTATGGTGCCTGCTAATCCCTCTCATTTTAGTAGGAAGTCCCCTTCCTACTCCGTCTCTGCTCTCCAATCATTCTGGCCTTATTTTCATGTTTCCAAAACAATGTTTTCAAACACTTTTAATTACTGTCTGCAGTAAGAAATTTATTTTACATTGCAACCTATTTGACATATGTAATAACAAAAGTTTTGCAAAGCAGTACTTAGTACTTACACAATGAACAACTTTTTTTTTTAAGTTGGTATCCACTACGTTGATATTATGACCACAACATGTATTTTGAAAAACACTGCTCTAAGAATTCTTTGCCTCAGAGTCTTTGCATATGCTATGCTCTCTGTCTGGAAAGCTTTTCTTGTATCCTCTTTACCTGGATGTCTAACTTATTCTTCAAGGTATGAAAGCAAAGGATGCTTCTCTCTAGAGTCAACTACCAGCATTTGAATTCTGAAGATAGTGATGAATAAGTTAATACATGCAAAGAACTCAAACTGTGTGTGGCAAATAGCAATGCTTCATCTTATTGTGAAAGGTAGTAATTATGCAAATATTATATATTTAAAAAAAGGGCCACATACTAAACCTGACACCTCAGGGAGGGAGGAGGTGCATGGCAGGCCTTACAAACTGGTGACCGAAAATAACCATACAGGATGGTCTGAATATAAAATTTCCTAACTAAAGTGGGTCATGGTGGTTAGTCACATCATAGGCCTGTAGCTTACTTGACAAAGGTCAGTTTGTACGTTGAGCCTATATATTTATCGTCTTTGTGTGTCTAGTATAACGTAACTTTGAAATGTCAGAGGCACAACTTCTGGCACCAAAGCACAAGACCAACAGAGCAGGAGACCACAGAGCGGGCTCCTCATTGTTACTGTCCACATACCACCCCTCTGTATTGTGCATGTTAATTATTAACTATCCTGTACCCACCAATGTAAAGGAAGTGTCTTTCTGTTTTGCTTTTAATCCAATCCTAGAAATTTCCTACTGTTCTGCTTTCTTCTTGTTAGTGTTTTTGTTTTGTTTCTTGTGCCTTTTTAAAAATATATATTTTATTGATTTTTTACAGAGAGGAAGGGAGAGGGATAGAGAGTTAGAAACATCATGAGAGAGAAACATCAATCAGCTACCTCCTGCACGCCCCCTACTGGGGATGTGCCCGCAACCAAGGTACATGCCCTTGACCGGAATCCGCAGGCTGATGCTCTATCCACTGAGCAAAACCGGCTAGGGCTCTAGTGCCTTCATCTACCACCAATCGATTTCATATAACCCTCCTTACGGCTCCTTCTTTGATTCTAATGTATAAAGTTCCAAAACCGAAATTCTTCAGAGCATTTACTTAATCCATTGAGATTTTGCTTCCTGGCATGTCCTCAAAATTTGGCTCAAACGATAAGAGTTTTCTATAGACTGACCATTCTTTCATCGACATTATTAATATGTCTTCCCACACCTTCCAGACTCTAAGCCTATGAAGACAAAAGCTTTGGCTAATTTTTGTTCATCTTTACAGTCCTAGGTCTCACTTCACCGGGCAATGAAACGGGGCTTAGGAACACCCGGGAACGGGTCCGGAAGAGCCGGCCAGGAGGAATCAAGGCGGAGGGGCTGGGGGCGGGGCCAGCGTAGGGCGTCACACGTCACCGCGTCGCTCGGAGGCCCGCCCCTCAGGCGGGGCCACGCCCACCTGGAGGTGTGTAGTCACGTGGGCCCCCCGGGCTCCGCCGGGTCAGCTGAGCCAAGATGGCGACAATGAGGGGGTCGCTGCGGCAGAGCCTGGTGGGCTTGGCGTCCGTCAGGGCTGTAAGTGCCCCGCCGGGGACGGGCGGCCATTCTGCACCGTGACGCTCGGGTCTGGGGCGTGGCTCGTGTCGGCTGTTCTGAGAAGTGAAGCCAGAGAGCTCCTCAGGCCAGAGTCAGGCGGACCTTGAAGTCTGAGACCGTCTGTGCACCCCAAATCCCTGAGGGTCATGAGGGAAACTGAGGCCCAGAGGGGGGCGACCTGCCGGTGCCCTAATTCCCTGCTCAAGGCGCTTTCGCGTGACCCTGGCACCTTTCTCCCTCTCATTGCGCCGCGGCCTCTCCAGCTCTGGCTTGTGAAGTGTCGCCGGTCGCCCGGCTTCCGAGGGAGCAGCAGGGTCGCCCCGGCTTCGCCTACTGCGCACCTGCTGGGCGGTGGGGGTGCCCGGGCGCGGGAAGCTGGAGATGGGCCTGCGCGAGGAGCCTGGCTCTTGTTATTCCCGCTTCTAAGTGAAATAGTCCTTCTGCTCTTAATTCTAGAACAGACCAGAGGTGAGTCAAACGGTGAGAAACGTTGGTTCCGGGGCCAGTATTCTGAAGATGGATCCATTCCTTCAGATTTGCCCCTCTGGGGGATTTCCCCCCACTTCATGGGTTTATTTGGTTTCATTATGCAACATCCACAGTTAGTCACACAGGCAGAAAGGAACAAGAGGAGTGTAAGTTAGGTGTTTACATCTGTTCAAGTATTACAATATCTAGAGGCCTGATGCACGAAATTCGTGCAAGAGTAGCCCTTCCTTTCCCGGCCGGCACGGCTTCCAGACCCCAGACCAGGCTTCCCTTGCAGCCCCAGCTTTGTCCAGAAGGTCGTCCGGAAGGACGTCCAGTCTAATTAGCATATTAAGCTTTTATTATTGTAGATGAGTTCCAAGCCCTGGCCGGGTGGCTCAGTTGGTTAGAGGCCTCCGATAAGCCAAGGTTGCAGGTTCTGGGCAGGTCTAGGCACGTACAGGAATCAACCAGTGCGTGAATGAGTTGGAGCAACAAGTCGATGTCTTTGTCTCTTTCTACAAGCCAGTTAAAATCTTTTTTAATAAATAAATAATGAGTTCCACAAATTTACCCAAAAAAGTATGGTAAAACACCACTCTAATATATTGCACAGCAAGCCCCGTTAGTCACCGTGGGAAAAATCAAAGTGCTTTCATTCCTTCCCAACTGGGGGGGTGGTCACATCGCCTCTTCCTCATGTGTGTGCACCCCCTGGGGAACTGTGACCATCTGTTCCTGTTTTACTTTCTGTTTATTCTTTTAAACCAAAGGTCAGCACCTCATCTGTGAGTACGTTCCCAAAGCGGGTGAAAATTGTGGAAGTTGGTCCCCGAGATGGACTACAAAATGAAAAGGTAAAATTGGAAATCAACCACAAAAGTTGTTTCTGAGCGTTGAGAGTTCGTGTGGTAGGGTAGGTGCAGCAGGGATGGACTGACAGAGCTATCAATGCAAGACACGATCACTCTGCCCAGCCTAGGGCTTGGTGGGGAGAACGGCAGGCTCCTGTGACGGCTAAACAATCTACGATGGCGATGCAACCGGTGTGGTAGCCCCAGGTCCATTTCAAGGCCCAGTGGGGTGGGGTGGCTGATGAGTGCTGGGGGAGTGTAGTGTGAGGGTGAGGGCATGCCTTAGATCCAGCAATTCCTTGTAGGAGGATTTATCCAAAGGAAGTCATGAAGGCCACACGCAAAGATTTAACCTTGGGGATGTTCCTTACAACCTGAAGAAAATTGGAGTAGTGCTGTCCAGTAGAACTTCCTGTAAGATAGAAATGTTCCAGACTTGAGCTGTCCCATGTGGTAGCCACTAGACAAACACATGTGGCTATTGAGCACTTGAAATGTGACTAGCATGAATTTTTATTTTCATGTCACTTAAACTTAAATTTATATAACCATGTATGGCTAGTATCTAATATACTGGACTGCACAGATCTAGAAAGTTACATATCTGGGAGGTGTTAAGGGTGGTTTTCTTTTTTTCTTTTTTTTCTTTTTTTGGCATGTGTTTTCAAAACAATCATGTATTAACTATTTTTTCATTAAGAAAGCTTCTTTTTTTTTTAAGTAGACCAGACTAATTTTAATGTTGAGCATGTGCTAGAAACAAAAACTGTAAGTCCCATGAGGGCAGAATCATGCCTGTCTGCTCATTGCAGTACCGCCTACCACCTAGCACAATCCCTGGAATATGAAGCGCTCTCAAAATTATCTGTGGAATAGATTACATTAAAGCAGTGCAAGAGAAATCGTGGGGGAGGGTATGGAGGGACCTGAAATCCTTAGGATTTTTCACCTGGTCCTGTAGTCACTAGGGAGCCACAGAAGGCTTTTGAGTGGTAGAGTGAGACAGTAGAAAGTGTTCTAGGATG